AGAGATGGGGTCTCACTCTTGCTCAGGCTGATCTCTAACTCCTGAGTTCAAGTGATGCAACTGCATCGGCCTTAAAGAGTGCTAAGATTAAAGGCATGGGGCACTGCACCCAGGCCTATTGTCCCAATTCTATTTCCAAGTCCTTAAATAAATATTCATTCCTCATAGTTAAAGAACCATTCCAAATTATTGTATTCTTCCACCACCTTCATATCCATCACAATTCACCAAAAAGTACCCATAGTCTAAGGCTGGATAAACTCTCCATTGTCTCTTTTTGGATTAGGGAAGGAAATGTAAGAATGAGGGATTAAAAAAAGGAAAAAGGGCCTACAAGCAAATCAGGAAACAAACCTTTAATATATTTTTTAAAAACCACTTATTTTCATAGATAAATAATACAATGTACAGGCAACATAAAGGAAAGAAGGATTATGTGATATAAAGTATCTTCCCACAGCTTAGAAATGGAAAGCAAATGAATCTTTTAGCGTTCTACCCTAAATCATATATATTAGAGAGTTCTTAAAACCAGGGGTCCATAGATTACATGAACACAGACTGCAATCTAGTTTTTTTTGAGACAGAGTCTCACTAAGTTGCCCTTGGTAATTAGATGAACACAGACTGCAATCTAGTTTTTTTTTGAGACAGAGTCTCACTAAGTTGCCCTTGGTAAAGTGCTGGGTGTCATAGCTCACAGCAACCTCAAACTCTTAGGCTTAAGCGATTCTCTTGCCTCAGCCTCCCAAGTAACTGGGACTGCAGGTGCCTGCCACAATGACTGGCTATTTTTTGTTGCTGTTCTTGCTGCTGCCATTTTTTTTTTTTTTAGCTGGCCAGGGCTGAGTTCAAATCTGCCAGTCTCGGTATACATGGCCAGCACCATAACCACTGTGCTATGGGTGTCGAGTCAGCAACCTCAAACTCTTGGGCTCAAGAGATTCTCTTGCCTCAGCCTTCCAAGTAGTTGGGAGTATAGGTTCTTGCCACAACTCCCATTATTCTTTCTTTATTAGAGGTGGCATTTTACTCTTGCTCCGGCTGGTTTTAAACCTGTGAGCTCAGACAACCCACCTACCTGAGCCTCTCTGAATGCTGGGATTACAGGCATGAGCCACCACGCCCAAAGATACTGAATGTTAATTCTCAAACAGACATGTACGTGTATACACTTCTGGGCAGAAGGACTATAACTTGTATCTAGTCTTTATAAAAATGAACTACTAATACTAAACCAAAGGTGCTGCCTTAAAAACATCAAGATGGTGCTTAGACGACAGAAACCTATCTAGAACCTGATTGAATGTACAGGTACTCTCAAAATACACAAATCAAGGTAATTTCCTATCAACCACAAATGGTCAGGTAGCTACAAAGAAACAGACAGGGCAGGAGGTACCCTGACCCAAGGGTGAAGCCATTCAGGCTAGTATTAGTAGCAGGTACATATTCCTACTCTAGAATAGGCAGTACTTCATGCCCTCAAAAACATCCAAATCACAGAGTTATCTTTTTTTATACTGATAGTTTGCTCACTAAACATTAGTGAGACATTGCCTTCACCTCTGATATCATCTTTGGGTCAAAAGTATTTCCTAAATAAATGCAGGTCAGACACATGTAAGTATCCAGTACACTTTTAAGTGGATTCCTACCTGTGAATTAATAAGCTGGCACTATAGTTTCACATGTCTGTTAACCTTGGTCTCCTTCATTAGCATTTCTGAATCAACCCAAACATTAACAAGATTGTTTCTAAAGCTGTAAGATAGACTGGGAAGCTACACTGAATCTTCTGTATCTTTATGTATGGGAGGCTACACTGAATCTTCTGTATCT